CTTGTCAAAGATGACTAACTGGTACAATAGGTACCATATTTACATCTAAAAATTTCGTCTAGGATATGTTTAAAGTAAAAGAAGAAAATAATAAAAAAATTAAGATTAACAAGAACAAAAAGTGGAAAAACGCAAATCGTGCGTTACTTTTTGTGGCGACTGTACATGTAAACAGAAGCAATACAATAATTAGATTACATGTTACATGTATAATTAAACAATATTAATAATACGTTAACATATAAACCTACAGCAACGATAGCAATAAAAACTTCTTTAATGCATCGAATGTATGTCGTTTCTTAGCACAATCATTCGCGTAGAATTTGTAGTCACTGATACATGTATGAGTAAAAATAAATTTCTTGAAATAAATTGCAAAAAATTCATAAAGAATAAAGAAAATAAATGACTAAGCAGAAAGAGCTAGGAAGTTGTTACAATTTAGTTTCATTAACCGTTCTGAAAACTATAACATTTCCCTAAAAACCTTTTTTATCTAAACGTTCATTTCGTTAATGCAGTCAATTTATCCCACTTCAATTACTGCCGATTTCAATGCATACTGTGGACTCCCAGATCATAATCATATTGACGTGTTTGATATTCTGATGTATCTTCATTTCCTATGCCTATATGACCTACTAGCCATAATATTTATTAGTTCGATAGGACTAGATTATACAATTATAACTGAAAATATCAACCTTCATGAACTAATATTTGGCAAAACTTTGCTCTTATAAACTGTCAAGGGATGCGTCGTGTAACTTTCTTCAACATCATATTTGGATGCATTTGCAATTCTACACTCCTCGGCGGCATCTATTTGTTGTGCTCCGTGTCTGCAATTACGCTTATACCATTTCTCAACGATGTCGCAAATCTCTTTAGAAGTTGGTCTTTGTGAAGGAATTTGATGCCAACAACGTACAATCAAGTCGCGGTAAAAGTCAAGTAATCTTCTGGTAATTCAGGTCGTAATCATCACATATATCCAAGGCTAAATTAACATCGAAAGGACGTTTACCGAATGACGATTTACCAACACTCCACTCACACATGACCATTCCCAATGCAGACACATAGACATATGATGCCCCCCTTTCTTTTTTATTTATTTAATTTATTCTTCTATTTTTCATTTTTATATAGGTTTCGATACTATGAAGTGCTATGGAATAACACACAATCCTTCAAATGGAGAATACTTTTTAGTTACAGTACACCTTATCCCAGCTTTAGCGATCTGCGTCATTATATGCGAATGCAATTCACTAGAACAATATGCATACAGTATTTGTACTGATCTTCAGTTCATTCACAAGGTATTATACACGGTGACCTGCATCCTGGAATATTCTTCGATTTAGTTGTAAGGATACTACAATCTGTGATCTGGATGCTTGCAATTAGACAAAATTCCACTAAAGAAAAAGCTCAAATGTTGGTGTTATGCTATTCGTTGCATCAGAGATTTTCCGAGGAGTAGCATTCAACAAGGCATCAGATATCTATGCATTGGGAATGGTCATGTGGGAGTTGTGTGTAAGTAAAATGCCATTAGGTAAACAAAACCTTTCGATGTTAATTTGGCCTTGGATAGCTGTGGTGAATTACGATCCAAATTATCTAAAGGATTACCTGGCTTTTACCGTGACTTGATTGTACGTTGTTAGCATCAAAATCCCTCACGAAAGGTCGACTTCTGAAGAGGTACACAGCATCGTTCAAAAATGACGTCGAAGCGAAGCTACATTGCGGAAAAACGAGAAATAGACGTCGCCGAGGAGTTTAGAATTATAAAAGCGTCCAAATATGATTCCAAAGAAAGTTACACAACGCATCGACAGTTTACACGAGCAAAGCTTTGCCGAATGTAAATCGGAAAGGTTGGTATTTTTCAATAATGATTATATAATTTAGTTTTATCAAACTAATAAATATTAATACAATTCCAAATGACACAGTAAATACAAATGATATTAACCTTTCAATTAAATTAAGAATTTATATCGAATATTAGGTTCTATAAGCAACATATTTATCATTATTATATTATCTTTAAATTTTTCATATTATATTTTGATGCGTCACCTTAAAAACAAATCTATCAGTAGCATCTTTTTTTCATCAATTCGTATCGTCTTTTCTATGCTTACTAATTGTTTTTATTAAAATATTAAATTATATAAATATTTGTTTGCAGATACACGTAGAATATGTAAAATGAAGGTATTAAATACATGTATACCATAATTATGTAGTGATAAAAACAGATTCCCCATATTAGTATACAACACGAAATTGAAGATAATTAGGACTTGCAAGAAAATCGACCATTTGATGAATGATGAGCTGGTTTTTTTTACTTTAGGTTTAAAAAAATTGATTTGTTAGTTAGATGTTGACTCACATGCTTTATCATCTCTGCTTAGAGCAAACGGGATCCTGTTAACGTTCATGAAATCTAACGGTTGCATATTCTTAGTAAATATTAGACATTATGAGAGATTAAAAATATTATATCTTGTCATAATGATATAATATACAAGACTATTAAAATGTACGCATATGTTTAATATCATGTAATAAGTCTGATGTATTTTCAGAATATATATTCATCAATATAATACGCTGTAAAATTTGTGTTTAAAGTTTCGACTCGACTAAGGTAAGTAAGACTTTTCTATTAACGTTAATATAAAACGTTGTTACAGTGGACAGCAAAAACAACGATTAATGCCTTTTCAGAAAAGGTTATAAGTAATGATACAACAACAAACCCTTTGGCAGAATATATGTTACTTTTAATAGTTATTATTAAAGTGACTATCTATATCATTCTAATAGAGTATTGTTTGATATTAACAGTTTTGTTTGTTGTTGTATAACTGTAGAGTTTAAAAAATTTTGTACGCAATATCAAATTAAAACTTAATGCTGCCCGACATTAACTGAAGAACAATTGGCTGTCCGCCACTGTACCTCGTGAGTAGTGGGACAGACTTATGATGATGATGATGCCGTAATGTTGTTTTACGTCTCATATGATGTAACTCAAGATATGTCAACACGTCAAAAGCAATAGCTAATGTTACCATAGTAACAATAAGTTTCGTGATTCCTTAATTTTTTTCCCTAAATTTCTTTAACGAGAATATCACTATTACTATTATTTTTGTAACAATTAACACTTCGTGACTATCATTAACATAATATTTTATTTAATGTCTGAGAATAATTCAACGCTCGTTATAATGATAATTAATATTTAACACTTCGAGATTACCACAATCATAATAATTAGTTAAATGTTTAATATTTTACGATTAACATATTAAATCTTAATATTGTTACCATGCTAACATTAGAATTCGTGAGTTCATAATTCTCATCGTTATTTTGCAAAACGGATACTTCCACTATTTTTTTCGAGTTAATGGCAACACTATTTCGTAAGTTTATTTCTTCGTATACTCCTTATTGATTGTTATTATATCATTCGATGTTCAAATTAATTTCTTAAGAAGAAATATCTATCTTTAATAGTTTTAGCACTTTGTATCAGTGTTCCTTGAGATTCATATCCTTGTCTTTTTCAAACTCCTTTATTGTTGTCGTTTATATTGTCTTCGATCTTATTGTCCAGGAACGTTAGTTTTAGCGAATAACTGTCTCTTTACACCTTAAATTAGATAGCATAGATATAGAATTATTATTGATTGATCTCTATAAAAAGGCAAGATGTTAGCATTTGAACGATATGCTCTAATCAATAAATAATTACTCCCTTTATTTGTGAATACACTGTTATTATGATTATCTTCAAAGCTTGCATACGTGTGGCTTTTATTTCTTTTGTGCCTAACATAAATTGATAATGGAAGAACTTCCTTTTAAATAAAACATAATTGATTTGTGTTTCATTTGTTCCAGCCATTGAGTTTGCTCCATGCTTTATTATTGAAATTACCTTGTAGCTTTATTTCGGATTATTTTAGTTTTCGTAAAAGCTACCACAAGAGACCTTTTGAATGATTAGAGAACGCCTCTTCTTGTAAATCATTTGTTGAAGCTCCCCACCATTGTTTTGCGTCCTGCTTTCTCTTTAAGAGGTACCGTAACTACACTCTATTATGTTTTTAGAAAGGTACATGTATTACATATCTCAAGACTTTAGTTATTATGTGATGCAAATTATTTACCGTTACATTTGAATATTAACACTACTTTAAAGGTCGAAATAAAGTATGCGTGAATTTCTTTTTCATAAATGAATTCACAACAAGAAACAGAAATAATAAAATGAAAGGATTTTTGTTTAAATCGATATGCGCTGAGGAACTGCATATTGATATTTAATTAGATTCGGGAAAAAGATAATTTGATATACATGAATGAATACATAACAAGAAATCCATTCAATTTTAACAGGTTTTGCAAGTGATCTTTTTCCATAAACTAGTACACAAGCAATGATAAATAACAATATTGCACGTATTTTCTATTCCGCTTTCTCGTTGCTTTTTTAAAAAAGGCATATTTATTAAGACTTTCATTACAGTGAAATTGCTATATTTGGACCTTATTTAAGTTTCATTTAAAATTCCTCGCGATTGAGAATTTTTCCGTAAATGAAGTATATAACAAGAAATAACTTTAATGAATAAAAAAGTAAAAAAGTACAAGGCTTTTTCTATCATATGGTATAATGAAAATTACTATAAACGTATTTGATCTCGTAATTGAAATTTCTTTTTCCGTAAAATGAGTCCACAAGAAATTACGATAGCAATAAAAAAATACTAGACTTTTGCTGAATTTTTAGTCAATGTAACAAAGATGAGTTCATTGTAAATTCATTTATTACGTAAACTCTATTATAATATCAATATTGATATCAATGCGAAAATTGATAATTGAGTACGTCCATCTTCACCATTACATATAAAAGAAGCAATATCTTTTTGACCTTGAAACTATTTAATATTATAAACATGAGTTACATGAGTGATATATCATTGTTATATGTTAATGAGACCTGCGATGAATGTTATGGTGAAGCAGATCACATCCACTTAAGTTCCGGTAAAAGGTGTTGTGGATGCTCGGGATATTATTATAAAAAACAACAAATGAGAGAATTTGAAGAAAAAGAGAGAAAAAGAAAAGAACAAGAGAAAAAACGAGAAGAGAAAGAAAGAGAAAGAGAATTTGAACGTGCTTCACTTTGTGCCCGTGGAATACGCCGCGCTGGTCATTGCTATGGCACTTATGCAGATCATACTCACAATGGTAGTAATTGTTGTGGAACTGAATCTTGCTGTGAAGACTTCAAAATCTCATCAACAAATAATTTTTCAAGCTGGAATAATATGTCAACATTTTCTGGCTCAAGAGAGGGTTGTTGGTGCTGTGGGCGTCTAGATTGTAAAAAATGTTCAATACATAAATCTCGTTTAAACAGCTCTAAATGTTATAATTGTTCATAATCGGTTTTCGTTGTTGTAATCATACAGCATTATGACCAATGTTGTTTTGATTTTACATCTGTTATAGCAAATAATTTATAATACTACAGTTAGGCATAAATCTAAGAAAAATAAGAAATTTAAACTATTATGCTACCGAACAAATTTCAAAACTGAATACTCTTTAAAAAAGCCAAGTTCAAACCTTTAGGTGTAAGTTCAAATAGTATAAATAAACTTGACATTTATTAGTGTAAATGACTAAGTGTATTGAACTTTAACCATTATGCTATGATATTAACATTAATAACAATAAGTTAGCTAAAAAAATACGTGTACCAAGTTTGGGTTATCACCAGGGTTGGCCCTTGGACAATTTGGACAGTTTGGACAAAAATTTATTGATAATTTAATTATACAGATATTTGGACAACATGTTTGAGCCATAATGATAAAAACGTAAATGCATGTACTTTAAACAGTACTTAATGACAGTATTTAGTTTAATATTGATAAGAAAAAATTTAAAGTTAATAAAAACAAGCATAATGAAAATAATTTAATATCAATAAGCTTTTCAAAAACAAATTGTATTTGTTTTCTTTTTTGTGACATTTTGTTCATTGTTGTTTAATATTTGAGTTAGACATCTAAATATTATCCAAATATGTTTTTAATATCTTGTTTATAAATTTTGCAAAGTTATTTTTTTTAAAACAATTAAAAAAGACTTTCAAATATTTTATCATTATTTTGTGTATTTTTATAAAATAATTCATGTTTATTTGTAAATAAAATGTCAACTTCTAATTCTGTGACACAGCTTCATAATATACTTTATATTTTAATTGTTATAGTATTAAAATATTATTTTTTACAGCTTTATCAAAGTGATAAATTTTTAGTAATATATATTCATAACTTAAGATTATTTTTCTTGTATACTTTGCTTCAAATCTAAAGTTCTGGGATATGTAAGATAAATAACGCTTATATATTTGAGTAATATATTTAATTTGTATGAAATAAATAATAAATTTAATTATTTGACAATTGAAAAAATATAAAATAGCTATTTTTAAACTTTTATACTAGCATTATTGATCAAAAACTAGCTCAATGTAAAAATAATATCGAACTTTAATATATCTTTATAAAACAATCTATTAATATACTTTTTAAAAGGATTAATTATTATAATTACTATTTTATTTATTATTTTTAAAATAAAAATTTTAAATTTTCTTATCAAATAAAAATCAGTAAAAAAGTATATTATAATATATAAAAATATTATATTAAAGTAAGAAAAAATAAATAATATCTTGATATTTAATAACTAAAATTATATTAAAATTTACTATTTGATTCAGCTTATAACAAATCAAATATAATATTTCTTATATAATTTCAATTACTAGTTATCAAGTTATTTTTATATGTTATAATTTTCAGTTAAAGAAATAAATTTATAATCTTTTAAATTATATATAATATTTCAAAAATATTTATTATTTAAAATCTGTTTTAAAATTATAAATATATAATAAAAGAATAATTATTAATTTGACTACAAATTATATAAATATAGTAATAAACTTAATTTAAATATTTTATATACTAATATAAAAAGTCTATAAAAATCTAATAATTAATTCTACTAATTATATATGAATAATTATTAAAATAATTAAAATTACTAAATTTATATATTAGTAAAAATAAAAAATTAAGTATCTGTATATATAAAATATTATATATTATATAAATAATTCAGACATATTTTTAAATCTCTAAATATCTTTTAATTTTATATATTATTTAAAAATTCTTTATAAAAATTCTATTAATTTTTAGTATATATATAAAATAATTTATTAATAAATAAAATTATCAAAATTTTAATAAATTCTTTATAAAGTATTATTGGGTAATATATAAAGTTAAAAGATATTTTTCTTATTATTATTTATAAAATATTATAATATTTATTATTTAGTTTAAATATTTAGAGTGTAATATAATTATTATTTAAAGATATTTTTTGTAAATAATATTTAAAAAATTATTTTTCATATAGTTTAAGAAATTATTATATAATAAATTTATATAATTTAGAAAGTTCAAAATTAAAAAATTTCAATTTAAAATATTTTAATTATTCTAATTCAAAAGTATAATTTATGTATATTGATTAAATTTAGAGTAATCAAAATTTAGTTATTATACTTTTTCTTATAATATTATTTATTTATATATATATAAAATAAACAGAGTTGGTTCTTTGACAGTTATAATTATTCAAAAAGCTATATAATTAAGTTTTTTCAAAAAAACTTGGAGAAGCTGTCTAGTTTGTCAAGGATAAATCTTAATTTATTATTTTCTATTTTATCTTTAACCCTTCGAATAATTTGGTCTTATATTGCACAATCTCCATGCAAACTAGCATAGGAGACTTTTAAAATCCTAGTGAAATCCACTTTTGTAAATTATTCAGTCTAGCTCTCGACTTTTGTCTGTCTATAATCCTATCCAGAATCATATTTTACGTTTACGTTGGACACAAAGTTATATTTATCATGTTTTGGTAATTCTCTCGTAAAGCTTATTTTTTCAAACAATAGATCACATAATAATTAAATGAGAAATCTTAAAATGAAAACCAATTAAAAAATTGAACAATGTGTACAATTAATTATCATCTCCATCTTCAATTAAAAAATTGAATAATGTGTACAATTAGTTATATTCTCCAAGAAAAATCTCTGATAAACTTACTCAGTGTCGCTTACGATTCTTGTCCTTCTGTTAGTAAACGTTTTTTGTTTGTTGGTTAGAACCTTTTGATCCAGAAAAAGGTTGTTGGATAAAAATTGGCTTTGCGAATAGTCTATTAAAGTATTTGACTGTAAATATTTAGGGCATTTATCAGAAAAAAGCAGCTGATTAGTGTTTGAATCAAAATCAATAAGGAAACTACGTAGAAATATAGTTAATGATACTTGACGAATGACGAATATTATTTCTTTTATGTAAACAAAGTACATAAGTTAAATACATGTACATGTGTATATAATTTAGAGCTAAATAGTCGACTTGATATTACATCTAAATTATCTGCGATATGTTTACATTTTGTTAAGAAATGAATTATGTGATAAATGATTTTTTGCATCGTTTTATATGAAGGAGCATGTACATATGCATAAAGATGTCGCAGATTAAAGTGAAATTTTTATATTTCTTATAATTAAATAATGGTTTTTTTAAAACAGTAATAGAGCTGAAATTGTAATAAAAATTAAATTTTTTGATAAACACTTTCATATTGTATATAGTAATTATTTGATATTCTAATTTCATTTTAATATATCACAATAAAAGTTTTTCTCAATCGAACAGAAGGACTTTATTTAAAGAAAAATTCCTTTATTAAAAGCTTTGTAGTTTGCGGTATCGGTATTGCTGTTTCTGTAGTAGAAAGTCCCAGTTTAGAGTTTTGTCTGAAGAATGGTTTTGTCAAGTTGATGAAAATAGTTTCCGTCAGTATCAGCAAGTATAATCCAAACAATTAATCTTTTATCCTCACGTTCATTTTTTTTTCAACGATCATACAGTTTACCTAAAAAATAATCAAATCAGTATACTGGAATTTTTTCGCAAAATGGTTCGTGATCTATTACTTTTGAGCGCAATTGTAATGATTCAAATCACTTGAAATTGATGTTAAATATAGATATTAAGATCCAATAAATCTATAAGATTTTTTTATTGATTTTATATCATAATTTCAAAAAAAATTTTATGTAATCCACTTAAATAATAAATTATCCTTTCTTAATGAAAAAATTAATATCAATAATTTGTCATATATTATTTTGTGTTCATTAATTTTTTTTGTTATTCATTGTCATTTTCAAATCATATATATTTGTTTGTTTTCTTCTCTTGTTGGCTAATCCAAAAAAATTTTACAAAAAACTGTTCCTTGCTTATCTGATCACTTAATTGGCAGGATAAGCATGACTTTGATTCCTGTAATTCGTCTTCATAAGATTACAGTAAAGCTCAGTGTGCTATTCGTCGCTGAGAGGAAGAAAGCAGTAAGTTAACCAAGCGTCAAGATCGAGTTGCTTGTTTGTAGGCACCTACAGTATGACGTGCGTGGGATTATAAAATTATCAACGAAAAGATTAACACCAAGCACAAATTAGTAGTTTACGTGAATTCAGGGCCTAACATCATGATTTTACCAAAATTTTATGAACGAAATTTTATATTTTAAATAGGGTTTGTAAATTAGAAATGTGTGAAGGGAAGTAAGTATAAGAGTTAAAATTTTAAAATTTGGTTTTTTATTTATGAATTTTTGAAAAGTATACAAATGGTTTTTGAATTTTAGCATGTTTAGAAAGTGTCACAGTGTTGTCATTTGGACACAATCCAGCAATAGGATTGGATAGGACACGTATCTCATCCAATTATATTGCTGGATTTGTGTCTAAATAATAACATTGTGGAAAGTTCTTTTTTTAAAATTTTAGAATTGATTGTAGAATACGTAAATTGAATAAGGTTGCATACACGTTGTTACCCGGTGGATTGGATACGGGGAATCTACCGAATAAGCCGTGAGACTGTACGATCACGGATTATCTCGTTATTTTTTCGCGTTTTTTGTTAACTAATTCGTTATTACGTCGATCGCTACCGACCCTCTTGTTGAGTTGTCCGATCAACTTTCTCTTCAATAGTGGTGTCGCTAGTTCCTACCTAAAAAGGTAATTCGTTGACCGTAGTATCGCAGTTTCGTTATTTCTTGCGTAGTCTCAGGGTAGACTTCTTTTTTAATAGAGGACTTGGGACAGATCAATAATAATTTTGCAATAATAATTCGAAGGAGTGTGGGAGTAACAATAATCTTTATTTATTTTAATAAAAGTTCATTACAAT